GGCATTCAGAGTGCCTTGTCGATCGACGGTGGCTGGGCGACCGGACCTCGGCATATCTTCGATGCCATTGTTTCCATTGGTGAAGCGAGTCCACCATTTTGACATCCAATCTTAGAAGGGGTGTTATCACTAAACTGCTGACGCATCCTGGTTGTGGCCTGACGTTTGGAGATGCCCAGGTTGTAGTAGTCCAGCAGACATTGGTGAAGCGAGTCATTTTGTCTTTTGTTGATTAATTTACGACTGTTTTTCATCAAACCAAACTGTTAGCAACTGTCTAGCTATATGTAGAGACAACCTTCGAGATAATACCTTTTCTTGATTGCTACTTGTTGGATAGGTTGTGACAGTGCTCACCATATCATCATCTGTCCATCAAAGGATAAAGGACCATTATTAATGCCTAGGATGTAAGAAAAGCTAGCCTACTTCAGAACGTCCAAAACTTTGAGATTATGAGTTGCAACCATTGCGATTCCATGGAATGGAGCATGAAGAAGAGGGTCAACATGCAAAACTGTAATCATCGTATACTTTTTAAAGTACGTCCAAGTAGTAGTACTTTGATAGGTAATGCAACTGACCTTGGCTTGTGATGAAAGGAAAAATGTTGTTGTTCCGGTCGACATGTATCTTCAATTCAAGAATTCTATAAGGAAATAAACTATTTTGGGGAAGCGCACAAAGGCTCAACTGTTCCAAAAAATTGTTATCGTTATAGTCCAGGACATTTTGACATACATGCATCTTGGTAGGGAAGTGAAGATACACAATTGCATCTTCACCCTGCTCAGCCCTCACAAAGGCACTATCAATGTAGACGCATGAGCGGAAAGAAAAGATCTGTAGATTCGTGACACACGTTCCAAAAAGGGCATTTTTAGGCTGGTCAGCCGAGGAGAGGACAACGACAGCGAGAAAAGAACAGGAAACTTACTCCAAGGCTAACTGCAGTCAGAGTTCATGCAGTGGACAGCTTGGACCTTCATGCATTTTATTGGTTCTTTTGTGTAGCAGAACCGGAATACAAATTTCTCTGTTAGGAGAGGAAAGGAGATCACTATCAATATCACTACTATAATTGCCCCTAGGGCACTGTCCGACACATAGTGTTCCCGCCCATGTTGATCGTATTTGTCTTGCATGAATTTCGTATACATAGACAGCATTTATCGTGCAATGCCTCCGAATTATAGCCTGTATTCTTAAACTAGTAATTTACCACTTTGAAAAAANCACATATCTTCGTCCCATTTGAGCCTTTACATGATCGAGTTCATTGAAGTCACAGATCACAAGAAAAATGGTTCCTGAGATTTGCCTCTGGACGATTCTGTGGCTTTATATTCAGCATATGGTACACTTTAGAACAGAAAAACGACCCAGACAGGGCGTAATAAGGGCTCCAAAACCGGGTTGCCGACGTAAACCCTCAAAAGCGACCGCCGATGGCGGCCTGTTATGGCTGCATCATTCGCAATGAAGAGTTAGGAAGTCTACGAACCGCAAGCCTATGTGGAAGACACCAGACGGTCACAAACGCGACGCATTCATACGGAACCTTAACTACGTTTTTTTATTTTTCAAATAACAGCTTCTTAAGCTATGAATTATGCCGTCAGTACTATGAGTGCACCCGGTGGAAGGCAATTTCCTCAAAAGAAGTGTATCTAGAAAGTGATTTTTATATTCTTCACATTATGCTCAGTAATTCGAGAAAGGTTGAAAGGTGGCAGAGTCATCTCGCGATCTCATCGAACTTTTCGGCGATGTAACAATCAGCTAAAGCCGAGTAAGGAGAGAAGGCCGAGAATTGTCCCTAAATCCTCCATATTTACCGACAGGAACTCCTATGAATCATTACGTTAACTGCTCGTTGGAAGATCGGCTGGCGAACAGAACCTACGACGAAATGAATNAATAATTTCCGCGTATTACTGGAAAATGGGTTGTCGTGAGTGTCGCCTCATTCAATATATGACAAACCTAGTGCCTGTCGAGGTGCGGCCAAGGATAAATATTCTGTGCAGTAAATTATTCATATAATCGAATGTGAAGTCTGAAACCAAGTAAAGAGCTTCTGCAAAAAGAATTCTGTGTATGACGTTTTAAAGATCTCACCCGGAGGAAATTCATTTGACAAGAATTGCTCATGCTTTGCTCGCGGATTCATTTGCATCCACATGAGTGATGCGTTTTCGCTTGACAAAATAGGATACTTCCTCAAAAGACACCGCCTCCGCTATGGTAAGAAGCATATAGTAGTAGGGCATGTGAACAAGCAGGTACTCGAAACAAAGAAGGTTGTTAGAGTAGTTTCAACATACCTGGCTATGCTTTGCACTAACATTCGTCTTCCAGCTCTTCTCACACCTATCAGTAACTGATATTTTTCCCCCTCCTGTAAGATTCACAACATGATACGCAAGAAGATTAATTAGTAGGCACATCGTTTTCATGCTATATTTCCAACCATTGTAGATAAAGGCGTACAAAATCATCAAGACTGGTTTTAAACTTGAGACGAAGAAAATTCGAGCTCCCCCCAAATAGACTTCAGTACCTCGTGTTGCCCCTCCGAGATTATGTATTACAGGATTTCTCAGAAAGCTTTCCACTTCACTGTTTTCTTTCTCAAGGTTTTTGCCGATTTTCAAATTCGCAGAGAACCAGATTCAATGTTTGGGTGAAAATGTAGTTGGGGGGGCCACCTATCACAATGTTGGTATATCAAGAAATGAACTCAANNNTCTCAGAAAGCTTTCCACTTCACTGTTTTCTTTCTCAAGGTTTTTGCCGATTTTCAAATTCGCAGAGAACCAGATTCAATGTTTGTTTCTTCACGACTGCTTTCATGGAATATCGCTGAAAAATCGCAAGAGGACTGCTCAAGAGGACTACAGAGGCTACAGGCGTTCATGCACCTTCCCCTCACAACGGGGATCCTACAGCCACCGAAAAATTGCATGAGTTGCTCATATAACCTGTTCTCCTACATTCCTCGAAGTATGCAACATCTCAGAAAGCTTTCCACTTCACTGTTTTCTTTCTCAAGGTTTTTGCCGATTTTCAAATTCGCAGAGAACCAGATTCAATGTTTGTTTCTTCACGACTGCTTTCATGGAATATCGCTGAAAAATCGCAAGAGGACTGCTCAAGAGGACTACAGAGGCTACAGGCGTTCATGCACCTTCCCCTCACAACGGGGATCCTACAGCCACCGAAAAATTGCATGAGTTGCTCATATAACCTGTTCTCCCACATTCCTCGAAGTATGCAACAACTTCCCTGAAAATCCCTATTCTCTTGCGTGCATTCGGGTACTCAGAGCATTGTCCGTCTCCTAGTGTGTTGCATGACGCTAATTTTCTTACCTTGCCTGCGTAGAGTCCAAGTGCCCGTTACGTAAGTCAAGACAAGGAGGTCCGTAGTCAAAATATGGGCGCTAGCTAGATGCTTTTACCTTCTTTACCACTCCCTCGATGTTTTTGAGCGCTCCTCACGCTAGGTATTTCCTTTTGCTCAGCTCCGAGCAGAGTTGTTTATTGCGTTGATTTTTCTATCCGGCTACCTGCGGCTAGATATCATTAAGAGGTGCTCATCTTAGTGAATTAGAAGAGCATCAAGNCGTAGTCAAAATATGGGCGCTAGCTAGATGCTTTTACCTTCTTTACCACTCTCTCGATGTTTTTGAGCGCTCCTCACGCTAGGTCTTTCCTTTCGCTCAGCTCCGAGCAGGGATGTTTATTGCGTTGATTTTTCTATCCGGCTACCCGTGGCTAGATATCATTAAGAGGTGCTCATCTTAGTGAATTAGAAGAGCATCAAGAGGTAGTTCGGTCCACAGACATCTTCTTCGTTTGGTTCGGGCACAAGCCGGTCATCCAATGATGGTTGAAAAATTCGGCCAGCTTCAGTTCTGTCTGCTCTATAAGACATATATCAGTACACATATATATACAGTGTTATGACCACGATTCTATCTGCAAAGCAGAGATAATGTGGGAGTCGTGCACCTTCACACTCATGTTGCCCCTATTGATGCACGACTGTTCTTGTTGTTGTTCTCGGGAGCGGCACTAAAAAGCTTGTTCGAAATGGTTTCACCCGGCTGAGGCCTCTCTCTCACGTTCACGATACCTTTCTTGTAGAATTGCGACATCCTGGTCGTGAACTTCCCGTTGTTCCTTTATAGAACTGAGCCAGATTTCTGACCAAAACTGGCGGAATGGGCAACATGTAGGACTTCAGTAGGCAAAAAATTGAGGGACGACATACCCCTTCTGTCCATGAAAGTAATGCAGGTAGCCAAGTGGACGTGGCTATCAAATAGATCCAGAAGGAAGTTTCAGGACCTTCTTCATTGTTGCTTGAGATGCAGTAAGAGTTCCATCAGGACGACGAAGGAATGTCATCCTGGTATTGTAATTGGCGAAGCGGTGATGTCCAATCACATGCTCCTCCTACTTTCAACCGCATTTGCCAAAGCTTCTACCTTTCTCACTTTCAATTTTTCTTTATCGGTCCTCTGGGTAGCTTTGCGATTACTCGATTGAGCCTCAACTCGCGCGAATAAGACGGCATATCAGCATGAAAGTTTTCAAAGAAAAACGCTCCATGGTTGAATTTCTGCTCTTTGTTTCTTTAGCACTGTCACGAAGGCGCTCGCCGGTCGATTGTATCTTTCACCGATGTTTTCGAAAATGTTATAGAACTGTCTACCCGGTGATCTAAAGCAGACTGTAGATTCAATAGCAGGGAAAGGGCGTTGTTGATATGTAGATCAAGGCTATGGCCGATCCGTATTTGAAGTCGTCTTTGGAAGTATGTAATCATCGACCAAAGGATGTGCGACCGACAGAACTACCGGCACGTCTAAGCGTCCAGTGCCTCAAGAACCTCACCGTTCTGACCTTCCGTCATAACAATCTTTCTCAAAGCTGCAGGAAATGGAAAAGAGATCTTTGCTTACTATACCATCATCTGCGATCCTCTACGCAAAGAAGCACTTTCAAGGCAGGAATTTCTGCAAATATCCCCCACTCCCTGATCGAGCAGAAGCGCGAGTGCGAGTCAATGCGAGAAGCTTTTCAACTGTAAACGAGCGTCGACATCGACCAACTTCATTACAGCTCAGCGTGATAAGTAGGTGTCATATGAATTCTACACGGGAAATCGCAATGTCTACCAATGGACGTAAGGCTACAGTTCAAAACGAGAAGAAAAGGAGCTCATTTTTCTTATTCTGCTTATCCGGGCGTTTTACTACGAGGCCCTACCAGAGTGTACTGCGGTGAACGCAAGAGTATGCAGTAAACAACATTAAAACATGGTGTTTCGAGCCCTCGAACGCACAAGGAAATACTTGATTGTGGTAGATAATGTTCGATCACCCCACGCGAGTACGTTGATGAAGGAGCTGGAAAGGTTTGGTATAACCTAATTTTTCTAATTTCTACATGTTCGCCTGTTATACCAAACCATTGCAATACCATCAAAAGCTCACAGGCCTGCTCTTAAGGCAAACAAATTCAACAATCGTGAGGAAGTCATTTAGAGGTAGTAGATAAATAAATTGCGTCGCGCCCCTCTCCTTTTTGGAGTAATGGCATCAGTGCCCTGTCCGGTCGATGTAGAGGCACTGTGGCTGCGAAGGGTCACTAGCTCGATTACTGATCCAACTTCAATGATGTACTTATTTTTTTATCTAAAAACCGACTGAATTGCCTCAAAACTTCCCGGATAACCTGATAACTTCATGTGAGCTTATCCGGGCTCACGTAAAGTACGCTATGATAGTACACACCAGAATCATCAAACTCCAGATCATTCGCAAGTCCTCGTGTCGGGAAAATGATTCAAAAACTCATTATGTGATTCCTTTCTCTTGCATTGTGCTTTTTCTGAGAAATTTGCTTCTTAGCTTTGCTTACTCAGAGCTCGTCCCAAAATCAACGAACTTCCAAACCAACTTTTTCCTGAGCTTGTGCAGATCCATCATCTTTTGAGAAGATGAATTCTACATTGCATTGGGTGTAGGATTTGTTCTCCCTCAACTGCATCGTTAATAATTTTACGTTCGTTAGAAGAAACGGGGCCTCGCATGCCCCTCATCAAAAATGCAAAAATTGCGTTTATAGTAATCGAGGGCGAAAGTTGGCGATTTTGGCCAATTTCAAGGAATGAGGCTAACCAACTTACGCACTGCTATCGAGTAAGACGAGGTCTGATAGAGAGTTAAAGGTCAAAAGTTAGAATAAAAGAGGAAAGTCAATCTGTTCTCTTATATGCAATTTCTTACTGTTCGTTTCAACTTCATGATTGTAATTAGCTTTCACCAGATTCCAGTATTTTTTATAGCCGAAGTAGTGAATGAAACATTACTTTAAACAGACCGTTGTGATGATATACGGATGGAAATCAGCACACTCTATTCCAAATTTCATTCCATTGTTTACAATGCGGTCAACTTTAGAATCCAAATTCTTCAAGTGTTGAAGCCATCCATAGTACACATAACAGTCCGGTGTTATACCGAGCACTGAAAAAATTTTGCAAAAAAAATTTCGGGGCTTTTGTGTATATCACTGAGGACAAATCGAAAAAAAGTTAGTAATATAAGTATTTGAAAAGCGGAAGTGTTGGTGGAGAATAGTGCGTCGATAGTGAAGAAGGGTAGGAAATTTTCGCTGTCATCTCAGAATAAGGCTTCCTAGAAGTAGTGAAATAAACGGTTGTGCAAGATTACCATGAGGGAGATCGCATGGATTAGGTATTTGCAAGAAATCTCATTGTTGCAAGTGCATGAAGGGCTGGCTATACCAAGCTAAAAAGTCTAAAACTGCCATCGACTGTTGCCAAAGGTCATGACAAGATGCTCGAATTTCTAACGCTGGTGTGCAGCCTCAACAATGCCATTAAAACTGGTCCGCCTTCGGGTGCGGCATACAGCCGATACCACCTTTCAGCCTTTATGGCGCCTTATCTACGCCCTTTCCTGATCTTGGGGATATCTTAGAAAGCCTTCTGGGATAAGTTCCGTTCGAGATTTTGAATCATGGATTATAAAATTAGGCGAGCAGTGGAATTCAGTTATACAGGTTTCGTTACACAAAGCTTCTCAAAGAAATGCACAGTGAACCGAAGAACACCCTCAACAAGACTATCTTCC